CGTTCCATCTTCTAAATGGCGACTTTTGCTGTTTCTAAACAACGTTTACGCTCCGGTCCTGTCGTGATTTGGTGTTATTTGACCATGTAAATGATGTTAGCTCACCCTTCTTTGATGCCGAACTAGTGGCGGTCCAAGGCTGCCCTGACGTGGACCAGAAACGAGGCTTTAAAAGTGGAATATTATATTTAACTGTATTTTATATTACTCTAAAGTTACCGTGTGTTTTGTATATGTACAACTCGGTACTTTAAACAGAGGTAGTCTGCTGTGGTGCTAGTAGCAGGTAGCTGAGAGGTGTCAACGTGTGAACCGGCCTGTGCTGTAGTTACATGTAGAGCAGCATGTGAAGTTAACTTAAGGGACCAAACTGTAATTATTACGGTTCTGCTCACTTTAATGGTGTTAATTGTAGTTTGGCAGCGGTAGGCTTGAATGTATAGTATAAGATGAGTGAGCAGTGGAGCTGGGGGATGTAATGTGTGTCATTATTGTTTGAGATTAAACTGCTTGTTGCTGTTTATTGTCTTAATGTGATTTCTGTTTACTTCTCCAGGGAGTTGACATCAGGCATAACAAGGACCGCAAGGTGCACAGGAAAGAACCTAAGAGCCAGGATATCTATCTGAGGCTCCTGGTCAAGGTAATTTATATTCACACATTATACTTTACCACCAGTAGTGGTAATTATATTATCTTGAGACAGGTGGTCTCATCATGCATTATATTACTAACCATCCTGCTGGGTTGTTACAGTTGTACAGGTTCCTGGCCCGCCGCTCTAATGCTCCCTTCAACAAGGTTGTCCTGAGGAGGCTCTTCATGAGCAGGACCAACAGGCCTCCCATCTCCGTCTCCCGTCTGGTCAGTTATCTCTCATCCTGTCCACCACTAAAGGATAAATTTGGCTTCTTTTTAGAGATGCACCAGTTTGATCCAGTAGATCAGGATCTGTGCTGATGTGACAGATCCACATCACATAGTTGATAGTCAATGTGCTACATTCAATGTTTCAACTATCTGTTCAATAGTCCAGTTATATTGGGTTGGGTACTTTTTATAGGGCTGCACAATTAATATGATCAAAATCACAATATGACCAAGTAAAAGTTGTGATAAAGTAAAACGTGTGACAGCATTATAATGAAGTACTGTAGTGCTGTACAGATGTCCTGGTCTACAAGTCTTATTCTCCAGATTTAAGAAAACACTTTTGTTTGGTACGGATCCCCAAATATTTCACATCATTGTGATTTCAACAGGTTTTTCTTTATAGTGAAAATTCAATTTGTGATGCAACAATGATCATTCCCACTTACTCGTCAATCGCAATATGTTTTTACCAGATCGTGCAGCCCTACAGCATCCCTGGCCTCGTGTGACCTGAACACAAAGATTGGCTATCTTTGGATATTATTTGAGATGTTAGGATTGGTGCATCTTTAGTCTTCAGGGGGCCTGATCTGATTTTAAATGGCCCTGTATTTTGTGATGTAGTTTAGATTGGGTTTACAAATGTAGCTAAAACTTGAAGTCAGTGTTTATTCCCATTTGACTCAACACTGACAATGTAAATCCATGTAAGATAAAGAAAAGGAAGTCAAAACGTGGCTCCAATGTAACTGTAGATGTTATCCATATAATTAGTCAATAACTGCTGGCATCATGTTTACCATTTACCATCAGTCTTGGGATATTATAACTCCTAATGTTGAAGCGTTGTTTAGTTGTGTGTGTCATTATGCGTGCTGAATTTCTGCCTTTGCTTCCACTGTGACCAGATCCGTAAGATGAAGATGCCGGGCCGTGAGAACAGAACCGCTGTTGTTGTTGGAACAGTCACTGATGATGTCAGGATTCAGGATATCCCCAAGCTCAAGGTAACCCCTGAATTCACCTCTTAGTGTTTCTTTGTTTTCTATTAAAATATAATTCAGTCTACAAAAGATGTTAATGTTGTTGGCAGTCTCTGAGAGGGTCCTAATGTCCTGTTTGTTGTCCTACAGATCTGCGCTCTGAGGGTAACTGATGGTGCCCGCCGCAGGATCCTGAAGTCAGGGGGTCAGGTGATGACCTTTGACCAGCTGGCTTTGGCTTCTCCCAAAGGACAGGGCACCGTGCTGCTGTCAGGTAACCAAACATGTAGATTATCAAATTATAATACAATGATGTGATTAGAGTAGATGACGTAAGCAGTCATTGCTCTACCGTGGCCATCTCACACACATTAAATCAAGCTTGCACTAACTTTAAATGTGGTCCTGTAGCATTGTCAGGTAACTGAATAGATTTCCATTAGGGCTAACCCTTAACCTATGTTATATAACACATAGTACTTCTATGACAGCAAATAATTTCCCCCTTTTGCATGAAATGAAGAGTTGTTTGATAACTGCCCTAACCCTTCAGACTGGTATGTTATAGTTGCTTTAATGAGGCTTATATCACTTCTTCAGTACTGTGCTTTATCTGAGTGGAGTAGATAATATCCACTTATGAGTCTTTTGTAATGTCTTAGATAAGAATACTGCTTGAATTAGGGAAACAAGTTTGTATTCTTGCCTGATTGTTTGCAGTTGATCACCAGATATTTACGTTTCTCTTTAATCATCTGTAAGCTTTGTGGACCTTGTTTGTTGAGCACTAATCACCTGAATTTGTCAGGATGAAGAGACTTGTATATCTCAATGGTTTCTTTGTATGAAAGGCTTCTCTTTAAAGTGTTAAGTATTATCAATTAGTGAAAACTACTGGCATTAAGTGCTGGTGGAAGTAATCATTTTACTGGTATTTCTTGGTCTTGCTGTGTCAGACCCTTGTCTTTGAACCATTGTATTGTCAACTGTCAGTACAATGGTTCACTTGTATTTTATACAGTACAGTTTGCACATCCATATCGTTCTTTCATGAGCTCAAATACAAACGTGGTGCTAGAGTAGTAAAATAAAAATATGAAAGGAAATTGATACACAGGTCATTATTTAGTTGAGCAGATAATAGATGAGTTTCCTCTCCTTGGACCTAATTTAATCTCTCCTGCAAGCAGGTACAAATGTGCAAATTGTTTTTATTATAGTAGGTTACAAATAAATGTATGAATGTGAGTTAATAGGTTTTCTTAGACTATGTATAACATTTTGTAGCTTTTTTTTTCTAATCAGACATTTGTTTTTTTCTTCAGGACCCCGCAAAGGCAGAGAGGTGTACAGGCACTTTGGAAAGGCCACTGGAACTCCTCACAGCCACACCAAGTATGTATAAAGTTGATGTATTAGTACTGTTGTCAGACACAACAGTCTTTTAAGAAAGGCTTTCTCAACAAATTATATTGTACCATTATTTAGATCAGTCTGATGACAGGTTACCAAATTGATCTGAATAGAAGCTGATGGGTTTTCTTCTGAAATAGCTTGAAAATAGGGTTGTTGGATTTGAATCAGAAAATCATTTGATTACATATTCAACATTTACTGAGTCTGTAGCTGGGTTTTTCTGTCACATGCTCTATTGTGCGTTGTCCCGTCTCTTTGTATCCATTGTGCCCGTTTTTCTTTTTCTTAGTCTTGTTCCCTTTGTTTCTCTCCGTTTTAAGGTAAATAAAATAGAGGAGAAATCTTATTACTTGCTATAACTCCACTGGCCTCTCAGGTGTGATGATGGTTGGTTAATACTATTAATTAGAGGTTTACTGCTGCTCTTAAGAGATTATAAAATTAAATTAGAAATACCAGCAGTGCCATTAAGCACCAGTACAAAACAAGGAATGTGGCCCTGTTACTGGTTGCACCTGTTAAACAAGTTAAATGCTTTTTGAGAGGAAAGTTTAAATAACTGTAGTAACTACAATTTGTAAGGAAAATCCCAGTTGTACTTTTCTATTAATCAGACTGCTGTCAGACATAGATGGTGTGCTTTTGCAGAGGTAGATTAATTTAAGGAGATTGGTCCTCTCACAGTGGACATTTCGACTTGTTACTAGTAACATTAACGATGGCTCTGTAAGCTGTGACAGTGAGCCAGTGTGCACAATAGCAGTCCCTTGAGATTGAAGCAGTTTAATGGATTTCAGCAGTGTTATCACTCACACCTGTTCTTTTCCTACTGTGACCTGTCAAACTGTCTTATGTAAAAGGCCTATAGTCTCGCTTAATCTATATGCTCTAAATGTACCTCTGAGCTGTGATGCACAAAAGTAAATGTCAAACTCTCCACAGCCCCACCTCCTCATATATAAGTTACAATTACACAAGATGATTCAAACACCTTGCTGTGAATGGTCTCAATCAAAAGCTACATTACACCAAAGCAAAGGAAAACTCACATTTGCGAACTGAGTGTTTATTTATCGCAAAGACTTGTTGCTCCTGACGTTTCAGCACAAGACAACCAATTCCTTTAGGCTCCAATTGTATGATAAGTGAGTTACAAACAAAGCCTTGTCAGAACACACAAACACTGAATGAGTTATTGGTGCTCAAGGGATAAATTGTATTGTTTTAATGACCAGTTGTAGTGAAGATGAGTGCTAGGTTGTTGTCTGTACTGCAGCACAGATGTAGAGAAGATATACATTTAATGGTATCATCTTTATTCTGAATTATTCTTTCTCTTCTCCAGGCCCTACATCCGCTCCAAGGGCAGGAAATTCGAGAGAGCTCGTGGTCGCAGATCCAGCCGTGGCTACAAGAACTAGTCTCTTTGTTTTCCATGCAATCTGATACAAATAAAAGATCGACTGTACAAAATGAGTTGTCTTTTGTGTTTCACTGGACAGCTTACACAGTGGCATTGTCTTTAGGGGGGGTCACTTATTGAACATCACAGGAGAAGAATGGGCTATAGGTGAATCACAAAGTATAACTCTTAATTTCCATTTACAGCCTTCACTGAGGATCCATTAATCAGTATTGATATATAGTCCAAGGGGGGTGGGGGGGGGGCAAGGGGAAAAAATAAGTGAGTTGGCCAGGAAGTGTTGGTCTGTCAATGATTGGAGAATGTCGGTGGGTGTTGCAATGTTTTCCTTATCGCCATTGGATTTCCTCTCCGCCGCTCAAAGCCGCCGCTGCTGCGTCTCCTGCCACTTCCTGCACCGAGCCACAGTTTCTCCAGTCTGTCGTCGTGAGGGGGGGCCGACAACATGAGGTAACGTGAGGCTCTTTTTTTTAATTTTTTTTTTTGCTTTGATTTTTAATTGTTTAATCGTAATGTGGCGCTGGTACAGTTAACATCTCTCTGGAAAAGTGAACCAGTGGTCCGTGTTGAGCTCCTGACGCCTGTTAGCTAGTGCTGCCTTCTGCTGCGCTAACTTGGTGGTAACGTTGCCTCATTAAATCAATCAATAAATGAGAGGTGTGGTGTTTAAAATAAGGTTTTTTATTGTTTTGTGTGTACATGTAGTGACGACTGGGCATTTTGAAGAGAATACGGTTTTAATAGTTTAGTAGAAAGTTAGCTTGAACTTGTCGTTACGTAGCTAGCCGCTGCTAGCTGACGCCGCTGCGTACAGTAGCTACTGTATTCATAACATTAGCTCCAGCGTTTGGCTTTCTCCTTGATTTTTAACGCCAGGATTCACTTCCTCTATACAGATTTAAAGCTTCTGCTTCTTCCCAGTGACTGTGAGTGAATTACTGCAGCACTGACGGACATTATGTGTGTTAGCTCTGCTGCTTGCAGCCGGTAAACTACAGTTGGAGTCTGTCAACATGCTAACTTAACGTTAGCTGGTTGGACGTCGGTGAAGTTTTAATGGTCAAACATTAATGCTGCTTTAAGGTGATTTAGGTGACTGGACGAGCTTTTAACGCTGCTGTTAAGTGCAGCTGTGCTCGTAGTGTAGGACAGCCCTTGAATTCACATTTTAAGCTCAACAAAACTTGCCCAAAATACCCCCCGAAGTCACTCAACAGCAGCCTCATTGTGTGGGAGACAGAATTAGCCCGGTGATATTATTTCTGGGTGTCCCCGCCCTGCGATTCAAGGACGTAAGTTAAGGTGCAACAATGGGCATCAGTGAGGTCCTTTTGTGTGTGTGTGTGTGTGTGTGTGTGTGTGTGTGTGTTTTATCAAGACAGGACATCAGCCAAGTATTGATTTTGTCTGCACCACAGCTTGCATAACGTTTTCTGACTGTAATAAAACTTGAAAGCAAAGATGTGGTCAGTTTATTAATTTTGGGTATAAGTCCAGTAACTGTACTTTGACGCATCAAAGTCTACTTAACTGGGTCCTGCTGGCTCTGGGCTTTGACATGACCTGTACTCCATATACATACAAGTAATATGAGGGTAATTATACCTTGCACTTTGTTTATTATATACAAGGAGACTTTTCCAAGTCATGTAGAGTTAAGTTTAGCTCATTATGAACTTATTTCTTTATTGGAACATTTTTTAGGATTGTTAAGTAAGATTTTTACTTGCTAATGCGTATTGCAAAACCTCTATAATCCAGCACCATTTAGGTCAGCAATTGAGCAAAATCTCCATCCTAGATTTAATATTGTGAAAGAGACACTGTTTCCCCAGATCCTGTTTGACAAAAGCTCCGAACATAAGAAATACCAATCACATGTGGTCATTCTCACTCAACCTTTCTTCCAAAATAATGTGGTGTCTCAGCAAGACCGTTGAGGATGTGTGACTGTGAGTCATTATGGGCAAAGACGCACCTAAGGACAAGGGGCATGATGGATCTTGCGTTGCTTCACCCTGTCACCGTAATCTTCGTCTTATCATTACAGTCCTTCTCTGTACTTGTTCTCCTCTAACTGTGAAAATGTGATACTGAAATATTCACCTTTGCACAGTGAAATCCCAGGTGAATTAGGCACAATTTATTTACTGTGCTTCTTTCTTTAATGTAAATTTCTTACCGTTCTCCTATCAAAATACTTTTAGGTGGATGACCCAGACATTAAAGCTCTGCCATTATTTTATCCCTTTTTAAAATTCTCCTCCTCTCCTCCTTTGTCGTCGTTCAGGAACAGAGATCTTCGGGAGGGAACGTGAGGCTTGACAATGACATTACCATGACATAAACTAAGGACCCACCTGGAACTGTCTCCTTGTTTGTCTTTTGTTTTGTTTATTTCTTTTTTATTTTTCTTCGTTGTCTGGTCTGCACCTGTCTTACCTAGTGTTCACCCTCTTCTTGTGGAGAACATTTAAGGAAGTAATGCAGGGGTATTTATTAGGATAAAACTTTAATGTATCACACTACTGTCTGAGAGGTCTGACCTTGTCACTCCTCTTGTCTGCCTCCTACATATCACTGAGATTAAAGATAGCAATATAGGTATCAAAGGTCTTGAAAAAGTCTGCACTTATCATATCTTTTGTGGCATTAATTACATTTCAGCCAGCACTTACCATGCAACATACTTCTTATTCTTTACTTCTGCATTAATTTAATTTAATTGTTGTAGCCTCCTTGTCTAAACAAGGTGTGTTTGTCTTATCCATACTTAATTTTGTTTCAGTGTAACTAAGTTTTAGTTTTGTCCTTTTGTGTAATTATTTAAAGATTTGTTGTTAATGTCGAGTAGCTGCTCAGCTCCCTTTTGTTGTTATCACAATAGGCGGCTTTAAGTTGTAATGTAAACTTCTTTTTTCTTTTCTTTTTTTTACTTATGCAATCTTTGTGAAGAACACTTTTGTTTAAATGAACGATCTTGTAGTGGAAAATATGCCTTTATAAGTCCTGTTGTCTTTGAATATGTTGAAGTTTTGCTCACCCACTTTTCCACTGGCAGTAAACTGTAGAAGCTGACAGCTCTTCAGATCAAACTGTGATGGGAGCTTTCTAACTGTGACGCAAAGACTTATTTAGCAGTTCCAATTTCACTGGATAAATACTTTAAACAGGAGAACCTTTAAACTGGAAGGACTTAATGTTTCTCTTTAAATGAAGATACACACCTGAAATGGACAGATGGGAACAGAAACTCAGAGCTGATTTTTTTTTTTCGGTGACTGTGTCTCTTGAATTCAAGCACTGAAGATGGAGAATGATTTTGAGGAGATTTCAGGGATAAAGTTCTCAGACTGACATTCAGATACATTTTGATTTTCCCTGCAAATCTTGAAGAGCTGCCAAATTCCTCCTCTTCAAGCCTCTAACTACGGAAGATACTTGTTAGACTTTTTTTTTTTTTTTTTCCCCCCGATAAACCGCGTGAGGTTTCAGCAGTGAGGATGCGATCTCCAGAACCCTCCTTACCCTCCACAGCAGAAGCCCTCCTTCATGGCCAGTTTGCCAGTTGGGGATCCGGCAGCAACAGCAACAATAACAGCTGCCCCAACAGCCCTGGTGGTCCGGGGGGACTCTCCCCTGCTGCCTCCCCTACTCCGGCTCCGGCTTCCAACTATGCCTTGACCCTCACCCACACCCACATACATATCCAGCGTCTGTCACCACGGCCGGGGAAGGAAGCCCGTCTCCTGCTGCCTTTATCAGAGCTAGTGGGGTGCAGCTGCCCTCGTGCCCCTGCGCCCCCTCTCCTGGTGCTGTACTGGTACCCGCCAGGCAAACGACGGAAAGGGGTGTCACGGCGCAGGCAGGTGAGGGCCTACCTGGCAGAAAGCAGGCCTGAAGCCGAGAGGTGGTCGGCTGCTGTGCAGTGTCTACTCAGAGATGTGACCGTCACTGCTGAAACAGGTGCGTGTCTCATTAGACGCTTTCTTGTCCAGGTTGTGTGATATTTGTTAGATGGTTTTGCTTGTTACAGGACTGTAGTTGTGATTGTGGTAGGCCATTAACTACAAATCGTGTACAGTTCCTCACTGTTTTACCTGTTGTGTCATTATGTTATGAAATTAAACTTGTAGAAAAATTTTTAAGAGGAAATCCATGAATGTGAAGACCATGTTGCCATTTGTTTTAGGTTTTTTATTAAGGTATCCTGCTCATTGATATAGTGTGGAGTTATAGTGTATGGCTTTATCAATTGGGCAACATGGTGAGTTTACAGCACATAATAGTGTGACCTTAACGTTTGTCCATATGAATGAGTCTTGAATTCCTGTTATTGACGACATGAAACCGCACAATGTTGCCTCATGCCGCCTTGATTTATGTCTCCTTCGTAAATGCTTGCTAAGTATAGCTTAATCTCACAGTGACCCAAGACCTTTCTGTACAACACACACATTTTGTCTCTGCTAAGAGTAGTTCAACATTTTAGGGGTTATGTAGCCAAAAAACAAAGGGGGATTAACACTAATACACCTTAAGAGTCTGTGAGATTTATTATTCAGAGTAATTAGTTTTTTGTTTGTTTGTTTCACATAACACATTTTTTTAGTTTATTTATTTAATACTTATTTGTTTTTTTGCCCTTATCTGTCCTGCACACATGGTCTGTATCATTCCCTGTCAAATGTAGAGACATAGAGGGTGGGGCTGCTGAGGCTTGTCACTCCTTCCCGTGCACTGTATCCCCCAGCTTCAATAATCAAACAGATAGCAAGACCCTGCTCAGTGTTTACTCTGTCCTGCCTTGTGTTTGTGTGTTTACCTTTTTCTCACCATTACCTCATGCACCAGCATCTCCCTTCTTTTCCTGTCTCCTTCCTCTTCTTTAGACTTAATCTTTCACCCTTAATTCTTTTTAATCTCTCCATTATTTGTTTTCCTCAGAATCTCTAACATCGCCGTCTCCTTCCCCCAACGGTGATAAAGCTGTCATTCATGTAAAAAATTTCCCCGCTCCTCTGTTTGTTCCTTGTCTCCTCTTGGCTCATTTATACTCTGTTGCAATTCACCCTGTTTTTCCTCTGTTTGACCCTGTAGTTTCTGTTCCACATAGCGTCATTCTTTCTCTCTCTGTTACAGTTCTCTTAACCTGATTACTCTGAATCGCTTGAATTCTGTGAATGTGTATGTTTCTGGACATTATAGCTGTTAGTTGGGTTTCCTGTTGATTTCCCTTTGGTGTAGTTTGTTGCATAATCCAGGATTATCTGAGAGTGCCGTCATTTCATCTCCTTCGCTGCACCACCGGCATCCGTATATGCTATACTAATTCTTAGAATGATTTTCAGAAGCTTTTTATTTATGCTAAACTTCACACCTACTCTAAAACAGTAGAGATGAGGAGTGTCTTAGTTTTCTTGATGCTGTGCCCCAGTCGGAAAACAAATAAATGATTTGCCTCTGTACACAGCTGCTTTGTTTTTACCACAATGATTTGTTTATTTCCTATAATCGTAATTCTAAATTTGTCCGTTACCATATATCGGAATTTATATAGTTAACAGACACGCTCTCAAGTAACAGCATTGTGCAGTGTGAAGTAGATCCTGTGAGGTGAAATTAAAGAGACTCAAATGGTTGAATGCACTCATAGTCCAGGGTTGGGCAGCGCTGTGTAATGACAGCTCCCAGTTGGCTTGCTTTGAAAATGCACTGAACCCCTAGTTCCTTTCTTTGTTCTGAACAAGAGCTGTGTGAGTTTTACATTATTCATGCTCTCCCTTCTTTTTCATACAGAATTTTCAAGAAGTTTGCTACCTCGTCCCAGGCGACTACTGTTATTGGTCAATCCCTTCAGTGGGAGAGGCCAGGCAATGCAGTGGTGTCAGACCCACATTCTGCCAATGATCAGAGAGGCCAACATCAGCTACAACCTTATACAGACAGGTATCACTCCAAGGGCAGCCTATCTTATCTAAAGAAGATAATACATTCACACAAAACATACATATATAACAGGTGCTAACTTTATTAATCTGTCTCAGAGCGTCAGAACCATGCCCGAGAGCTTATCAGAGAGATATTGCTCCCAGAGTGGGATGGCATCATCATTGTTTCTGGAGATGGCTTGCTGCACGAGGTGAGTAATACTGTTGTCGGGGGGGGGGTGTAGGTAGTTGTAGGTGTATGTGTATGTTCAAAGGGGAAATTATATAAGAGTGAAGATATTTATTGTCAATCAATCAAACTTTATTTATATAACACCTTTCATACAGTTTAGTGCAGTTCAAAGTGCTTCACAGATGATTGACAAGGTGATAATAAAACAGATTTAAAATTAGAATACAATGATAAAAATTACAATTACAGGTATGTAGTATTTAATAAAAGCTCTACTTAAAACTAAATAAATTCATCTATATTATTTAAAATAAGGAAATAGTTAAAATAATTAACATTGAAATTAATTGTGTGTTTTGGTGCCACATTTACAGCTTTTACTGTGTTCACCAATTACGTTTTCTGACTCTTCTGTGTTCCTGTAGGTAATCAATGGGCTGATGGAGCGTCCTGATTGGGAACAAGCAATAAAAACACCTGTCGGCATTCTGCCCTGCGGCTCCGGGAATGCACTGGCTGGCTCCATCAACCACAATGCAGGGTAAGCATGGATCTTATTCACATCTATAAAGGTGAGAATTGTGTGTCCTTTTCATCTGAATCTCGAAAAGTGCAGAACTTTTATCAACTAAAACCGACTAGTATACTTTAAATAGAGATTCAGAGTTCATCGATATGGGATTTTATTCGATTTTCGATTAACTTTGTTCCAAACTCAAAAGTTGTTATTTTATCTTTAAATAGAAGAGCATAGTGTTGCTGGTTATCTTGACTGAGATGTCTCTGATTAATGGAAGGACTCTGTCTACTCTTATCTTCACTGACAGGAGGTGTTGTTGTCTCTTTTTACATGTCCCCCAGGTATGATATGTGCCTTCGGGAGCCCCTCCTATTGAATTGCTGCTTTTTGCTCTGTCGAGGCGGTGTCCGACCCATGGACATTGTCTCTGTGACAACAAGCCCTCCTCCCTCCAACAACAGTCGTACCGCAGCACCCAGGAGGCTGTTTTCTTTCCTCTCTGTTGCCTGGGGCTTTGTATCCGATGTGGACATTGAGAGTGAGAGGTGGGTGTGTAAGTGCTGCAGTATCACTTATTTTAAATACAGCTTTACTTGAAATCTTTTCTTTTTGCAGGTATCGTGGCCTAGGCTCAGCTCGCTTCACCCTGGGCACCCTGGTGCGCATAGCTTCTCTTCGATCCTACAAGGGTCGTCTGTCCTACCTGCCTCCCTCTATTTGCACCACATCACCAGATGCCACACCTCCTCCGCCAAGGAGACCCCTCTCCCGCAGTATTACAGAAGGCCTGGAGGGCTTCTGCCGAACCCCCATCCATCGCACCTGCTCTGACATGGGCATCAGCGAACAGAGGAGTCTGCGTAGGGGTGAGGGAGAGAGGGAAAAAGAGGAGAGGCAGAGAGAAAGGGAGAGGAGAAGGGAGAGGGCTAGAGGAGGAGGAAGCGGTGTGGTTAGGGCAAGCAGCCTGGCGGAGGACAGAGAGAGAGAACGGGAGGGGGAGGTGGAGATGGAAGCAGAAGAGGAGAAGTCAGGGACATGTTCGGAGAGGTCTGGCACGAGTTCAGAATCAAATGAAAGGGATGAATGCAGTATGGGAAGGGCAAAAAGGTTGGCGGGGATCAAGGATGAAAGGGAGGATGAGGGAAGAGCAGAGCACAACTCCAGTGAGATGGAGGAGGAGGATAGGGGGAAGGATGGGGAAGGCAGTAGTGGTTCTGTTGAGGGGGAGAGAGGGTTGTATACGAGAGAGATCGGAGAGAGGGTGGACATGGGGCGAGAGGCAGATGAAGAGCCAGACGTCCAGGAAACCAGACAGTCACTAAGAAAGAACTCAGCCCCTTCGAGCCAGATAGCCAACGCTCTCTTCAACCAGCCTCTCAGTCAGGAGGCTGACGCAGACTCTGGCACTTCATACGGGGTAGAGGACATGGATCTGAACGGAACCTACTACCAGAAAGAACCTTACCAACTAGACGTTGGTCGTGAGCGATCTCTCACCATTTCATCTCCCTTTCGTCACTCTCCCTTCTCTTACAAGCCCAAGACCCTGGACCAAAACCAGAACGCCTCCCGGCCGAGGCCCCTCTCCCTCCTCCAGCACTCCCACTCAAACTCATTACCCCCTAAACTGCCCTCCCTCTCCCTGTCTCTCTCTCCCACACCGCCTTCCTCCCCTTCATGTGCCTCCCCACACTCCTCATCCTACCTCGTCCCCCGTCCCAACACCCCAAATTCCACATCGCCGTCACCGTGTCTACGCACACCGTCCTCATCTTTTAACTTTGACATTGCCGAGCCAGCAGGACCCCAAAAGAACCGTCCTTTCTCACTGCCTTTAAATCTCCCTAGGGATGACTTGTTACCCCCCCTTGACCAACCCCTTCCCACCAGAGACTGGGTCACCATTGAAGGGGACTTTGTCCTGGTCCTGGCCCTTTATCAGACCCACCTTGGGGCTGATCTTCATGCTGCACCCCAGGCCAGGTTTGATGACGGGCTGATCCATCTGACCTTTGTGCGGGCGGGAATCTCCAGAGCCACTCTGCTGAGACTGTTCTTTGCCATGGAAAGAGGAACTCACCACTCCGTCAGCTCGCCATATGTGAGCCACGTTACCTGCAGAGCCTTCAGGCTGCAGCCTCTATCTACACGGGGGACACTCACTGTGGATGGAGAACTGGTACCCTATGGACCACTTCAAGCGCAGGTCAGAAAGAGGGAAAATGGTGCTTGGAACTGGATATGCTTGTCACAAAGTGTTGTAATCTGAGTGTAGTAACTGTACGTGATTAGATAGGGTTTGACACTGAAGTTAAGGGTTCCCTCCAGGACCACCCATACACAAAGCACATGCTCCTGTAACTGCAGTATGCTTTGCAGGGCTGTGCCAGTGGTAGTATTTCTGCCTTGTAGTCAATCAGAATCAATCACTGTTACTAATTGAGTAGAGACTGATTATTTCCCAGGTCATTGTACCATCTAGTTTATGTCCTCTGGAAAAAAACTGCACATTGTGCTGAATATCTTAAATTTAGTTTGATCCTATGATGACTGATTAAAGATTAATTGATTGTTAATCATTCACATGGTTGACAGTGACACGGTTATTTTTCCCAGCTAGTAATGACACGTGCTGTATCTTTAGCAGATGTGCTGTAGACCTCTACAGTTCTAAGTATTAATGCTGTGAAATTGTGTTAATGAGTTACTGTAAACTTTTCACTGGTAATAATGTTTTTTTTCTCTATATTTCACAGGTTCATCCTTCCATAGCTCGTCTCATCGTTGGTGACTCTGGAGTGAAGATTACCAGATTCTAATCAGGGAATAGTTGAGCTGATTGAAAGATCTCACTCTACCACTCTACTGAATTATGTAATCTCTGTTGTCATCTGTACTCTGAAACAGAGGGGGAGTATCTAAGAGACTTAGAATAGCCTGGATTGCAGAAACTGCTTTTCTTGGGTTTAATGAAAGGGATAACCCACCAAGCCACGCATCATTGGAGCATGACTGCAGGGATTAATAGCAAATTTGAAAATGGATGAAAAATGCGCCTCATTGCACAGCTGTTGGATTACGCTCTGCGTACCCTGAGAAGCATGAAAACTGCACAGCCTGGGATAATAAGAGGGAAGAACAATCGAATGTTTATGGATTTTTTTGTGCAGATAGTGCATGTGTTGGATGTATACATAGTAGTATGCATGCAGAGAAGCACTACCTGCTTGTTGCCTTTCAATGAGATGGAGAGAAATCAGATTTCAGAGAGAGTTGTTCTTAAACATGAAAATCTATAAAAATAGATTGACATTCACTTGGGCAAATAGCACATTAAAATGTGTCCCAACACTCAATCTTCAACCCTTATGTCAAATTAATGGAGTATAAAAACTTCCGTCCCTGAAAGGAATGCCTTATCTGACACTGGACAGTACAGTTGTACCATTGATCTTTTCTTACTTATATAAGAAACCCAAATCTTCGTAATCTCTATCCACCTATCAGAGAGTCCGTCCAACACATGAATATACTGGTAGACCCACCTATCTACCGTTATCTTCAAGCACGCAACTCTCCACTGTTTTAAGCATCAGTGGGGAAGATTCGGATAAATGTACACTTTAATGACCATTTTTTTCATGCAAGTGACTCAATGCAGAGCAGCGAGATCAAGCTTTTCAGGGTCATTACATTAGTTGGCGCAATGGAACTGTTGAACGGTAACCGTTACTGACATTTTTACATAATTTGCCAGTTTTTCTTAGCCAGTGGATGCACGATAATGATGTCAGTGATATCAAACTTTGCAACATATTGAATATAAAAATATCTGAACGAAGCAAGCTTCTTTGTCAGTGGTTTTAGACTGTTCATTGTCAAGAAATGTTTCAGAATCACACACATTAGCCCTCAGCACTCTTTTATGTCTAGAATATATCACTATTTCTAAGTAATCATCTTTGGAAGCATAGAGGCCATTACATGCCTCTGTTAAATAGGAAGTAGTGCATTTATTTTGCACAATAACGAGCAGAAGCAGAAAAGATCACAACACTAGAATGCATATTAACTTTAAGATGCATATGTCGCAGAATCATATGTTCTAGAAATTAATGCACTAGTATTAATAGCCTAGTCAAGAGACTTTAATACATGGATCACATTACATTCATAGCCTGAAATGAATTAAATGTCTCAATTTGAGAACTTTCATAGCTTCTGAAAGGTAGGACTGACTGATCACAATACCATTTAGACACTTTAAAATCCTGCTGTAGAGACAAACAGAGGTACAACACTAAAATCTAGCAGCTCTGTGTTGTCACATCAGAGTTTTGATCAAGAGATAAATCAGATCGAGGGGAAACAACTTCAACTGCGAGAAATTATCCAGCAGTAGAGCCAATCTTTTGAAGTGACTGATGGCTTTAAATGAAAAAGTACTTCCAAATGACGATGTGCTCCTAAGTGAAATCAAACAGCAGACATGGGAGCCCTACTAGGAATTGTGGTGTTGGGGTTTTTTTTTTTTTAATGTTATGATAAAACCTGCTGATATACTCAGTCTTGACAAAGGATTAATCATTAGCATGTGCAGTGTATCAATCAGTAAGCTCATGTGCCGACTGCTTGGGTCATCATCAACATACTGTATGTCTTGGTCATGCCTGGATAAATTAATGCCTCTAAGTAATAAGCCTGTAAATTCTGGCTGTTGATCATGAACTGTTCAAACCTGACTGCAGAAAATGGAGTAAAACTCTTTGCTCACCAGGCTGTTATTTTTCTTCTATTTCTTTTGTCTTACCCTTTGACGCACAATGCAGCTAGTCTACCACAATTACACTGTGCTTACACAGCTACAGAATGTGAATACATTTTGAGTCTAGGCTTGTAACATCACCAAATAGAAGAATCTATATACACTTTGAATGGAGTTTTCCCAAAATGTTTACTCTTGATGTTTAAGAGACTAGTTATGACAGTTTACCTGCCTAAACATTTTGTCGTCTATGGCCATAACCCGCACCATGGTGTTATAGACCAATTTGATATGACAATGTCGGGGTATGACCCCTCAATTGATAATGCCATTAAGATGTCTGTAGTGGACTGCCTGTAATGAAATTGTAATTATTACTAAAATGATGAAAATATATAAATATACAATGTACAGTTAATAGTTATATATGGTTTTGAATAAATGTAACTTGATAAGTTTGTCTGGAGCAAATATGCTGTACTTTTGTCACATCAATGTGTCTTCTCATTTATATAATACATGTGATATCAACAGAGGACGTTGCTTTTATCAGTCACAATCTTCTGATATCAAACGGTATCGTTTAAACTACTTGGTTTGCCTCCACTCTTCTCAATCAGCAGTTTTATCATTCCAGTGAATTGTTCCCTCAGGATTTCCCTTCTTCTTTACTGTGTGGACATGTGGGCTAAGCGTTTAACCAACGTCCCCTGAGTAAATATATTTTTAGGTTACGTGGTCCCAGAGGAAATTAAACCCCTCACCGGGGTTAAAAACATGTAGATAGTTGTCATGTAGATATGCTCTCTTCTACTGTATCACCATTTAGGGAATGTTACTAGTGATTTAGAAAATGAACAATATAGTAATAGATTGGTCAGTAGTAGTAAAGTGTCACACAACCTTCCTCTGCAGATAGATTTGCCCAGTTGGAATCAAAACCTCCAGCACAGCTACTAAATAGATCTTCAGGTGAGATTTTTTTGTCAGCTGCTGTTTCGATCAAACCTTTTGAGCCAACATGGATGAGAAGTCCTGAAAGCGCTCAGAAAAATTAAAATCTGCCGTTACATGACAACTGTGCAAAATTCATCTGTGAGTTCAGACCATCAAAAGCTCAACAATATAGATTAATTTGTCAAATAGACCAAATGGATTAATTTGAAAGATTTGTAATCTCTGTGCATGTCTCACTGTCCCTTTTGACCTTTGTATTTCATGCCTTTGGCTTTTTTTACAAAAGAAAAAATAATTTTGAAGATGAGATAGACTTTATTGATCCCACACTGGGGAAATTCACTTGCTACAGGAGCTCCAGATACAACACAACACAATAAATAAGAAAATACATATTAAATGAAAATAGATTAGAACAAATACAAGATGTAAAATAAGAGTTATGTGTATATTTTATACACCTTTATTAAAATATCCAAGTCATATAAGTGTCCCTTAGCATTGAGTGGTGTAAGAAACATAAATATAAACATATATACAGGTATAAAACAAACAGTTATCCATTAAATAAAAAAAAAAAATTATATATATATATATATATTATGTTATACCTTTATTAAAATTTTCCTTTGTGTGCAGCTATCTGCAAACAATCAGATACTTTAAAGTACTTCTTATAAAATGTATAAAGTGAGTAAGGTTTATGAACAGCAACAGTGAATATTAAATAAATCAAACACTAACCTATCGCTGTTTCACCAAAAACTAGCAGCCCGACTGATATTTCTGCATTTCTGTCCAACTTAATCATAACTAAATATAACTGATTTTATTTTGAAAAACAACTGACCGGAAGTAGACTACCCGAAAGTCTGACACCGTTTCCGGTGTCGCCACCTTCTTTGTCTCCGGCCCAACATTTCGACACCAGGGGCTGTCTATTTTTTCCCTTTAGTTTTGAGGATATATTTACACATATATCCCTTGTTTTCTGATATTGAATGACAGTCGACTCTGAAATATTTATGCCTAAAAGTAAAGCGCCAAAAATGGATGAGCTGGACTACAGTAAGTGGGCTTACTCATTAGCTCTCCGCACAGGCTATCGCTAGCTAACTGTGGCTACTTTATTTGCTCAGGTGTGACTCCCTGATCATTCCGTTGAACGTCTGAATGAACATGAATGAACATGCAGCTTTTACCGTCACTTACGAGTAGTACGTGTGTGCAAGGAAACCACATTTGAGTTAAAATAACCCATAAAGGTGCATTAGCGTAACCTGACGCCAACTAAATATTGATTATTTCTCTGTGTGCTCGGTGCTAACAGTTCAGCTAACGTCGGTGGCTATTTAAAACCCTCGTCAGCCTCCGAGTTACACAAGGGATTGTTAAAATTGGGCTTTGCTTTTACAGCCGGAACCACCCACCTCCCGTTGTCGGTACCCTGGCTGCTGTAGCATGAATCAGACTGAACATTTAATCCAGACTGTGGGCGTGGTTGGGGCTGTTTTAGAGCAGCTGTTTGTTTTGCAGAGTAAACACAATGTTTCTGGGAGGCTCAGATCAGACATAAGGCTACCTCGAGCTCTAGATCTGAGTGGTTTGATCAAAATATGTAACTAAAAGATATTTGGTGCGATATACGTCTAACATCGGACATAGCATTATATTTAATGGGCAGTTTATTAGGTGCATCTAGTTTAACAGCCCTGCAATACACCCACCTTTTAGACTTATGTTTGGATTAATAGAGAGATGTTGATTCAAACTTTCGCTTCATGGTTTAAGGTTTAGAGACTATATACACTGCAGTTTGTTTTTTTTAAATGTCACTTGATATGTTGAGTAAACAGTAGTAGCAAACAAGTTTTGGCAAATGACTCTAGAAAACTGTAACTTCAGAATCAGAAATAGTTTGTTGATCCTCACAGGGAAATTTGTTACAGTTGTACTACTCACACATGTTAAGGAATATAAATAATACTTATATTACAATATCCAACACAAGATATAGAATATAAATGTATGTATGCATGTATATATCTATACATTTAAGTAAGTAAAATATTAGAAATATACATGGGAATAGAAATATAAGAGCCTAAGAGATATAATAAGATAATAATAGTCTATATACAAACTAACTGTAAATATAAACATATTTCACAGTGTGTGCTGACAGAAATTAAATAGTAATGCGTTTAAGACAAATAATTATTTAATAATTACAAGAATAACATAATAATCAAGTGTATTGCAAATAACAAACTAATAAATAACTTGATGAACCCTGTGAAAATGATTTTATCATTGCTGAAATACCTTAGAATATGTCTTGTTAATAAGTCAATATTAGTCCTCCATTTTAATGCCATATTAAGCTACATGCCTAAAACTGTTTAGATATATTTGCTTCTGTCAAGGATTTTATGTCATATAAATAATATAAAGTGTACTTATGCCAACATCCACTAAATACATTGTACTTGCACAGTACGATGTTGCATTAGTCTGTTCAGAGACCTTTAGTTCTTTTATCAAGTGAATGATGGAGGAGTAACACAATTGCCATTCAGTCTAAGTATAATAACACCCGACTGAGCTCTTTTTACAGGGAATACTTCTTTACTAGTTAATAGTTGCAATGAAAACGGTTCATTCTGAGTAACACAAATAAAAAAGCTTTCATCTTTGTTATATTGTGGTGGTGGCTGAACTCTCCTCACACGGCTCAATTCCACAAGAAAATATCTTTGTGTGGTTTTGGTTAACCAAGCTTTAAACTTTTAGAGTCAAACCACAGATGTTTCTCACTCTTAAGTGTAGTAGTGTATCTGTGGGAAGAATGTTTCAGACGGGCGTCTTTAATTTAAATCTGCTTGTCTGACTGAGTTTTACAGAAGCATGTCTGTGTTGCTGTCTGCTATATTAGTAGAGTAACTGGGGCAGAGTTAATGCTCTCATACATTATATTGCAACAACAGACCATGAGATTATGATTTTCAGTATTATTTTCACAGATTGGTGCAATAAGGAGATGTTAGTGAGTAGGGAAGAAAGGAGGAAAATATGGCAAAATATCTGAAAATGTGTAATAACTCTGATTTAGGCTCTTATTATATTTCTGTTTTTATTTTTATTTTTTACTTATATGCCTATTCTACATATATTGTGTTAGATATTGTAATATAATTATAATTTCTATTCTTTAACATTGTGTGAGCAGTTTGAGCAGCTGTAACAAACACGTTTCCTCCGGGGATCAATAAAGTATTTCTGATTCTGATTAAAATGAAAAAGCTTTTGTCTTAACGTCCTCACCCACTGCTTTTCCAATACATGTTTTATGTGCACTTTGCTAACTTCAGTAACTACTGTTACAACCCTACTTCCCCCACTCCTTTCTATTGTAAGATATTGATAGGAGGATTTAGTCATTACCAAGTTTAGTAACAATACTGTTCTCAAAATAGTTGTATTTGATGGGGTTTTATGTTATTAATAAGTCTGCCGTGGGTTGTTTGGGCACCGCTACCATTTATTATATCTGCAGCAGCAGCAGTAATAGAGTCATTCTTATTCTCTTCCCTTACAGTCCCAGTAGACCTGAGCCCAGAGGAGCGCTCTGAGCTGGAGGACATCCGTAGGAGGAAGGGCGTCCTGCTGCAGGAGATCCAGAGACTCAGAGAGGAATTAAGAGAGGCAATATTGGAGGTGGAGGGACTGGAGACCAGCACAGAGGGCAGGTAAGGAGAAAATGCACAGTAACATTGATACTTTACTCCAAACAATGTTGGATTTGGTGTTTTGCACAAACAAAATTACTTTGAGTTGGCTTTGATTGACCAATCATCGTTTCTCAATCCACCATCACTTGAGTAGTTGCTGCATGTTGTGGACGTTATCAAACCAATGACGCACTCTTACTGGTGTTTGCTCACATCACCATGTTCAGCATATGTTTAACAGCTTTTACAAACATGTCAGATTGGATTTTACTGCAGTGCTTGCTCCTCCTCTCACATCACCTAATGCTTAAAACTACTGCACATTAATACAAGTGTTGTCATTGTTGGATATTGTTTCCTTTTAATAAATAGCCTTTTATTGTTTAACAATTGTCTAAAGTGATGAAGTGATAAAGTGATAACGACGACATGGAAAAACTGTTTGAACTTTTTTGTCAAATAAATGTGACTTGAATGCTGCAAAAGCACTCAAGTTTTTTTTCAAACATTTTTCTCCCTGCAGTAAAACTCTACAGAAAAGCAGACATGTGGCAATGGGAAGGAAGAAATTCAACATGGACCCCAAAAAGGTAAAACTCTTCAGTACTTGCACGTGTCTGCTCATCACTCTTTCTTAGCTGTGTGGTGACAGACTCTCCCCTCTCTCTGCAGGGCATTGTGTTTCTGGTGGAGAATGACCTGCTCAGACACACTCCAGAGGACATCGCTCAGTTCCTCTACAAAGGAGAGGGCCTCAACAAGACTGCTATAGGAGATTACCTTGGAGAAAGGTGCTTAGTCTCAAAATATCTTTTTGTCCCTTTTCTCCTTGTGTATCAGCCATTTGTAACCTCTCTCTCTCTCTCTCTCTCTCTCTCTCTCTGTCTCTCTCTCTGTCTCCCTCTCTCTCTCTCTCTCTCTGTCTCCCTCTCTCTCTCTCTCTCTCTCTCTCTCTCTCTCTCTCTCTGTGGGGCTGTTTTTCAGGGATGACTTCAACATCAAAGTTCTTCAGGCTTTCGTTGACCTCCACGAGTTCACTGATCTCAACCTTGTCCAGGCCCTCAGGTAAACTGTGTGTTTGCAGTGTTTTTTAGTTTTGAACCAAGGACAATATCTCTTGAATAGTGCCATAGCCTTCTGGACAATGGAAAGTCCCACTCTCATTGTTAAATCAGGTTAGGGAGGGAAATAAATAATTGTATAAGAGAGCAGTAATGACTGTAAACCTCTGTCTTGATTGCAGAATTTGTTCTCTGACTTGACCTCAACCTCGACCTGTTTTTTGCAGACAGTTCCTGTGGAGTTTCCGTTTGCCTGGTGAAGCCCAGAAGATTGACAGAATGATGGAGGCCTTTGCTCAGAGATACTGCCACTGCAACCCCGGCGTCTTCCAGAGCACTGGTAAACAAAAACTCACAATTCCTCAGTATTTCTTGTACAGCAGACAGTGTAGCCTTCCCCTTAAATCAAACTTAATTTTCCTACGATGGATCACAGGAAGACACATTTCCCAGAAGGTGGGCACTCACGCAAACAACAAGCCAGTTACCAGAAATGACCTGTGAGCCTACAAAGTCTGCCAATTCATAAACACTGCTTTTCAGTCAAACCCTCTTGTGTTTTTGTTTTCAGTAATTATTTCCTCAAATTGTTTGACAGTAGTAGAACATTGTTTTTATTTTAAGGATCAGGATCGAAAGCAATTGTTTTTGATTTTCTTTTCTGATATTAAGGTACATTTGTTAAATTATTAAATTGAATCTTTGTGCAGAACCAAACTCAACGCTGCTGTATTCTCTCGCATGTCTCTCCTGTTTGCAGACACATGTTACGTGCTGTCATTTGCCATCATTATGCTGAACACAAGTCTCCATAACCCGAATGTGAGGGACAAACCCGGATTGGACCGTTTCATCTCGATGAACCGAGGCATCAACGAGGGGGGAGACCTGCCTGAGGACCTGCTCAGAGTAAGATAAAACTCTAGGTTGCTTTTCTCTGGAGAGGAATAAGTTACAATTAAAACGAACCTAGTAAAGATATTATAGTGAGCTCATTTTACTGTCTTATCTGTAATTCCAGAATCTCTACGAAAGCATTAAAAACGAGCCGTTCAAGATCCCTGAGGACGACGGCAACGACCTGACACACACCTTCTTCAACCCCGACAGAGAGGGCTGGCTTCTTAAACTTGGTGAGATGATGCCATCGAGGACTTTCTGCTTTGCTTTTCTACATGTTCGCTTTAACACTGATTTCGTACAATTTAACAAATCCAGTATGTCAATGCTGCATATGTCAGAACATGTACATTTCCATTGAGATCAGAAAGTGATTTGTGTGCCACTGTACTCTTTTAAGGCTTTGTGCTATGACGAATCTGCCCTGCTGTCTCTGTGGTGTGCTGGCTCTTTGCCTTCACTTGAATTGTCAGCTCACCGTGTTGTGGCATTTGAAGTTTGCCATAGCATGACAAGAGACTCACTTTCTTGCGTCACAGCAGTCTAAAAATCGGATTGTTTTCTTTTGCATGGCGGGGCCTGTGATCTCTGTGTCACTAATATAATCTCCCTCTCTTTCTCTTCCTCCTCCCCATCTGTCTCTCTCTTTCTCTATTTGCCCCCCGTCTTCCTCTAAATCCTCTGGTCCCTTTTGTCTCCTTCCTTGTGATTTCCACCCTCTACTGCCGCTGCTTGTTTTCTCAGGAGGTATGTACTTACAGAGTTGTTGTAGTTATATACTTGTAATAATAATTAGCCACGTAGGTAGCTGTAAACTGGTAGAGATTGTAAAGCTTTTACCCCCCAAAGGGAACCTTTTTCCTCCTCCACACTCATCGTTGTGGCTGTGCTCCTTTTCTTCAGGGGGACGAGTGAAAACCTGGAAAAGGCGATGGTTCATTCTCACAGACAACTGCCTTTATTACTTTGAATACACTACAGTAAGTCTTTGTGTCCACTTTATTTATCTAGTGCATTAAACAGTCCTAACATGAAGTTGTTGTGTTTACATTGGGTTTTCAGAGAAAATTGCAATAAAATTCATGACGTTGTGTTATCTTGCAGTAAAATGTGGTATGTGTGGGAATTGCAATGCTGCTGCAAAACTTTAGTAATAATGTACTTTGTCTGCAAGGAGGTTGGGTAACTCAACTCAAGGATTAGATGCATAACTTTATTAATCCCCAGAGGAGGAACCGGTTTGGTTGCCCATGTACAGTAAAGACGAAAGAGACGCAAGTCAGTCTGGTCACAAGAGACGACTTATCAAAGACAAACTGCCAAACACATTTTCTAAAACGCATTAAAAAGTGAAATAATGAATATACAATTGATCTCTGAGAAGCTAGTTGTAAGTGATCCAACTAAGAAGAAGATGATAGATTAATTTCAGCTATAACCGAGTTTCTCATTTTAGGAATTAATTGATTAATATTTTCAGTGTAAACAGCTGGCATTGAAAGTACTTGCAATTTCCCCCAGTTGAACCAGCTTGTACAGAAATAAGCTGAGATTGGTTGGATTTCTGTACAGTGTTGCACTCTCAAATTCCTATAAAACACAGAATAAAACTGCATGTTGCAACTCTTCTCTTCTAATCTGCTGTGATTGTGTGTTTCACTAACAGGATAAGGAACCGCGAGGTATTATTCCCTTGGAAAACCTTAGCATCCGTGAGGTAGAAGACCCAAGAAAACCTGTAAGTTTTGCCTTTTTGCCGAGCAGTATTGACCAAATGTACTTCTCATATTAATAATTTTTCAGTTTATTGTACATTGTGATTGTTTCGCCAATGTTCTTTACCCCACTCCCAACAGAACTGCTTCGAGCTGTACATCCCCAACAACCGTGGGCAGCTGATTAAGGCGTGTAAGACGGAGGCTGATGGGCGAGTAGTGGAAGGAAACCACATGGTGTACCGTATCTCCGCCCCCACACCCGAGGAGAAGGACGAATGGATCCACAGCATCAAGTATGTAAATGGCCCATGGTGGTCGTAGTTAGACCAGTGAGACATTTTTGCCTGCTGGGTAATCGTAATTTTATTTCCTAACTGCTGTCTGGATGGTTAATTTACCTTTTTAAATCACTCATTAATGTTTATTTGTCACATACACAGATCTGCTGTCAGTGTTGACCCCTTCTACGAAATGCTCGCAGCCAGAAAGAAACGTATATCCCTGAAGAAGAAGGAGGAACAACCGTAGATTACTCCCTCCATTCTCTCCCTGTCTTCCTTTGTCCTTCTCCTCTCTCCCTCCAACACTGGACACACATGTTTTCTCATCCATCCTCCTCACCACCTGTTCATACGTTTTTATTACCCCCAAATGCATCCTCACCCGACTCCTGGCTATCCTCTCTACCAGACTCTTGAGAGCCACATTCAGAGTGAAGAGCTCTGTGGCTGCCTCCTCTTCTCTCGGTTCTTACACTACTGCTGTTCTCCCCACCCCGACACACCACAGCCAGAGCACACCGTCTGTCCCGTCGTCTCACCACATTCCTCTCGCGTTCAGCATTTAAGTGAACTGTGAAACCTCTCTCAGGCCATATTCACACTAATGTTTTGCCCTTTCATTCACACTCGAACAACTTCTCAAAAAAAAACGGCTCAGTGAATGTGGTCGAATCTGCAAACGCAGGGAAAATGGAGGATTTAAAAATGTTATGATTGTCGTGATCTCAGGCGTTTGTGCGTCCTTTTTCATTCCTACTTCCCTCTTCACTGTTGCGCTGTAAACCACAAACAATTCCTTAGACTCCACAGACAGTTGCTCAGCAGAAACGTGTAAGACTGCTGGCTGAATATTTCTCTTTTGGCCTTTTCAATATGTACAGTGGACTTTTAGACTACTCCAGTCTAGAATCCTCTGAACGGCTATCTTGTGAATATCTATCTGCATTAGTGTGAATATGGTCTTATTCTGGGGTAGTAAGCAGCTTCAGTTCTCATGAAGTCTTCTTTCATATTTATTGATGCTGCCTAAAAGAGAAATTGCCTTGATTGTGCTTACACCAGACAAAATGTGAACTCACTATTCAGACACTTAGTTTTCAGTCAGTGTTGATCAGATGGGATGGAGGAATCCATTTAAGTCACAAAGATACGGCAGCAGGAAATGATTTCAGATTACTGAGATGTGCTCATTGCTTCCTATGGTACTCTTAATGGCTTCAATACACATTACTACTGTCTGCACTTAGATACTGTAACCGTTATGTGAGGCAAACGTCACCATTCATTATATTGACACTAGGTTTTTATCGGCAAGTTACTGTTGAACTATAAATATTGGTCGGGTCTCGAAGCGAAACGGTTGCTTTACCTGCAGATTTAACGGAGACAAATATAAACGCGACTCTCCTTCCAGATAGCTGCTTGTTTCAGCTCGCTGAGACAATATATGTGTTCTTTGGCAGGTTTCCTAACATGTTTGAGCAATAGCAGAGAAAACTGATCCACTCTGGAAGCTTGTTAACAAATCCTTTTTATAACACTGATACTGAGCAACGATCACCACGTCCTCAGATGTAATGTTCTCGCATGCCACAAATCATTTTCCTTCTTGCGCAACACTACAAGACAAATATCTCTTTCACGAGTAATAACCACGTCAGACATTTAACTGTTAGAGCCTGGTCTGTCCGCTATCGTGAGTTTCAACAAATCACAAAGGCAGCTCATTACAATGTATACTTTTTGTAAATAGATGTTAGCATATTTGTTTACGATACACATAGAAATGATTTAATTTATTCTTTATCTTTTGTTAAAATCTGATTTTTGTACGAGCTACTGTAGGACTGCATGTTGATAAAACTGAGGCGTCGCGTCGTAGGTACTGACGCATCGCCGATCATGCTAGTGCACTGATTTGAAAAGTGTTAGTGTTCCCTGTTGACATATGATATGAAAGTTGATTTATGCATAGAGTAAATTGTCTTAATCATTAATAAGATGTTTTAGGAGATGTTTAGTAGTCTGGTTTATCTCCAGACCACCCTGTTGGTTTGTGGAGTAAAACAGACTCAGTAAAGCACAAGCAGTAACCAATCTCACTCTTATTAAACTAACGTCCAGTTGTTTTTACTTCATTGGCTGCTCAGTGTCCACTTGAGAGTGTAAAGGAGAAGTTCACAAGTCGAAATTGAACTGTTCCATCATACATTAAAAATGGAGACGACAAAACAAGGAACACTAACAAAGCTTTGATTCATTATGTAATAGTAAAAATATTCAGATGTAATGAATCAGTAACAAGTTTAGATTTGTGTCCAGTGATAGATTTGCTTGACATCCAGTTCATGAACTCATTTCTAGTAGTTTATTGAATTGGCATTTTTAGATGGTAGTAATAAAAAAAAAAAATAATTGTCTACTGCACTTTATCAATTTTAGCATTTTGTAGAAAATGCTGTTACTTTGACTGACAATACTCTGTAGCACCCTCCACTGGTGATCCACACACACTGCAATATGCTGAAGGATGAACTGTGTAGAAATACTGTGTATCGCCACCACCTGGTCAGCACCAGCTATAGCAGCAATAGTTTCTGACCAGCATGTACTGTATTGAGCTTTATTTGCCCACCTGATGATAAAGATCATGTTGTTTGAAGCTGAATGGGGTATTTTCTCTGTAATCAGAAGCTTGTTTTAAAGACACAGCAAGTGATAGGTCCTCTGAATACAAATCTAGTATTGCCTTCTACTCTCTGACTTCATAAACCTGATAAAGTTCTTGACTTTATATCTCCATGTTAGTGCTTCTACACAGTATACAGGCTTTCTGGAGGCCTTCGCTTTCTGGGAATTCTTGAAGTGCAAAGTTGCCAAAACAAAAAAAAAATAAACAGTTGGGACAAACAAATGTTTCCATTAGAACAAACGAATGAACACTGAAATGATCAGTTTGAAACTGGGCCTCTGTTTCTGATTCCTGTTACCCCACACCCACCTCTTTTCAGAAAATGTGTTTATTTTGTATTTATTTATTTTTTATTTACTGTGAGGTGAAGATGGATAGATCATCTGTAAATGTAGCAAAAGGAAAACCACGATACATTGGTGCCAGTAAACTACTGTGTAACAATAAAAGGTAAACAGATGATGGATTCCTGTGTGTTTTTATTTCTTCTGGATATTTGTCTTATATTTTATCTGGGAGGTTGAGTCGACTTTATTTCTATAGTCTAATATCACAAGTTTGACCCAACGAGCTTTATAATCTGAACACACAGCAATCTCTTTCCTTCAATTAAAATGAGGAAAAACGTATTAAACCTCACGAAGAGCAGCAGAGGGATCTCTCAAAACAGACAGAGGTAATATTATAGACCCCAGATGATGTAACTTAATGACTTCTAGGTTCACAAGTATTGGATCAGACATAAATATATATAAATATAGATATGAATATATTCACAGGAGCCATTTTAACATTAAATAGAAGGGTAGTCAGGTGTTTGCAATAACAATAATTAAGGTTCATTTCCATTCAGGTCAAACAGTCAGTGTTACTGTTGTGCACGTGTTGTCACTGGTAATGCTCTGCTATACTAAATGGATTGCGGCCTTAATTAATTTAAGTTACACCTGTGATTACCTCACTATTACATGTTAACGTGGCTGCTGTGAATTATTATATTATTATATTGTAACCACTGTAACCACTACAGTCTGAAGGTGAGTTAAGAAGCGATTTTAATTGCTGTGTTTATTCGTGCCGAACAACCGAAGCACCAACTGTACTAAAGTTATCCAGTTAGCGACCCAGTGACCGTGTGTGTGTGTGTGTGTGTGTGTGTTTGAGTTCAATCAGACCTCAACAGAAACTCCGGTATTTTGTATTATATCTCTCCAGTCTCTCGTTTTTTTTCTCTGGTCTTTGTACTTAAAGTCCCGGAACTGCGCGAAACCAGCGAAGCAGCTGAATTATTGGCCAGGTATGTGAACGCATAAGGAATTTGACATATAAACAACAACAAAAACAACATGTGTAGACAGTAAGGCAATGGTGCAGAGGATGCTGGAATAAATATTGGTGTACAGTTTTGTTTTGTGTGCATGAGGTAGGTGGATTTGACCGAATATACAATATGCACAGGATGCATAGGTGTGTTTTGAGTGATGATATCAACAACACAAATAAATAATTTACAGATACAGTGGGTGTTTAAGTCACTGGGATTGTTGTCCATCAGAGTGATGGATTGTGGGTAGAAACTACAGCGCTCTGTAGCTCTGAATGACTTCAGTACCTATACTTGCTGCACTATGAATGTGTGTCTGACTGGTTAAAGTTATTAATACTACCCATTATAATCTGTTAACATCCCAACAGAGATATCAGTTTTCCTGCTGACCTGTCTTTAATTTTGGGATTGATTATCCACAAAAAATGAAAACTAAAGACGTGTATCATCACACTTTTATTTACAGTCATAACATTTGAAGAAGAAAACAACAGGTCAAAGATCGAACCCGGCCTAAATTCATTGTTTTATATACAGTACAATAACAAATATACAGTCAAGGCGAGATCATTCAGAAAATAAAAAGCCACAGTGCAATGACTTGATCACACAAAATACATCATTTCAAAAAGATAAGTCTAATTTATTGGAGAGGGAAAAGTGATCAGCGAGGAAACAGATACATTGTAGATAAAAACCTTTTAAAAAACATGCATAATAAACTTTTTCTATTAGTTTAAAGCAGCAGTGCTGAATCACAGTATCATGCCAATAGTCCATGTCATAGCTGTAAAACACTGAATTCTTCCTCCAAATAAAACACCAATCTATCTATTTCACACAGATCGTATGACACAAAACAATTTCTACATTTTCTTTGGTAAATTAGCTGTATCTCCCGTGGAAACATTTATAAAAAAGATTACAAATGGATTTCTCAGCACATTTAGTAAAACTAGCTAACGTACGTAACAACGTTTGTCACTTCACCACAACAGAACCCACGTAAGGTCTGCTAATTGTATCACAGTCTTATAAACAATATGACAATATGTCACATACAGCATTGGTCTGTTTAACATAAAACACCAGCTCATGAGTACAGTAGAGGCCAACACCATTAAGTCCCTACACAGTGTCTGTAAACACAAATTGGACTTTTTTTGTTGTTGTTTTTGTTTTTCTTCTCTAAGAAAAAAAGTCACTGATTAAGTTTAAAGGAAGGCATTGATGCTGAGTTTGGAGGAGTTGGTGCCACTGAGCGATCATCCTGAAAGTCGACGGGAATTTTGTTTCCTTCTTTCACCTTTTTTAATAAGTGATAAATGTTCTCTGTACGTTTCCAGGATATCTCCCAAGTTCTTCACTGGTGTTACGGCCTTTCAGTGACAGGGGTCAAAGGGGTATCTGGAGACGCCTCCATGAAGCTCCACCTCTGCCTCGGACCAAGCGATGACGTCCCCTCTGAGGTGGCTGCCGCAGGAGGCCAGGCTGTAGATGTCACTGGCAGTCAGGACATGTGACCACATGTGCAGGTCCGACATCTCACCCACAAATGACTGAGTGGCATCAAAACGGCCTCCCAGAGTGTCCTGAAGAAGAGGGAACAAAGAACAGTCAGTGTCGACGAAGAGAAAACACTGGATAAAGACTTCCCAAACGATTTAATATGTGAAATAGGTGCTCAGATACAAGAACTTAATGCCACTAAGAACCAAAAAAGGATTTAACAACAGGTATTTGTCTAGCAACTCTCCCCCTCTTCTGCATTTAATGGCTCCTTCCCATTGAACTCACACATTGGTATCTTCTTAGACTGCAAAGTTTATCTTCACAGAGAAGAAATCTCTTTGTCTTTACCTGTTCCTGTCCCAGGATGAAGACCCCTCCAGGTTTGATAGGGTGCCAGGGGGAAAGATTTATCCCGGACCCCTTCTGTACTCCGTCCTGGTAGGCCTCCCACTGTCCATCCCGTGTTGACCAAGTCACACACACATGGTGCCACTTCCCATCACCCAGAGACAGGGGGAGCGGCACAGCCTGGAGGTCGCATAGTGAAGATGGTGAGACACTAATATAAATACATCCTGTTGTTGTAGCTTTTATTAAACAGGGCAAATGTCTCTGTGAGATCTGCTTCCTATTTAACTAAAAGGTATAAGTCACAATGAACCTCTCAAACACAAAATAAATGTTCAGTGACTCGTTAAAGGTCACATTAAGAGGGAGCTCAGCAGTCCCTGCTGTCCCACCACTGCATCCGCTTGTAAAGTTATACTTAAGATGTTTTGAAGCCATTTAACGGGCAGGTAAAGACGACTACGTGTGTCCCCTGACAACTTGGCTTTGAAAGTATTTCTCTAACATTACATATTCATGATTAAATAACAATCAAAGTGGATAAATAATACTTAAAAGATATATTTTTTAAGGGTTCAACATTAATAAACTCAGCCAGTCTGCTTTGTGAGGACGGGGTCTTTCACACTGTTACTCTCCCTCACCTTGTCATCGATCAGCAGTTCCATGGCGTTGTTCCCCCACTCGATCAGCACCAGTTCATTGGCCTGTCCGGGTGCTGAGTATGAAAAAGGTGTCCCCAGGCCGGGACCCACGCCTGCCTTGATCCGAAGACACAGAGTCAGAGCGAAGATCTCCTGCAGCAGCGTCCTCTTCACCCGCCCGTACATGTAGTTGGTTCTCATGGGGAAGCTGATCTGGAAGGCGTCAGGAGTCTTCTTCTCGCTGGATCCTGTTTTGGAAGAAAAATAACAACATACGTTGATAAAACCTAAAGTTATGACAAGGTAAATATACCACGTTTTATATGGTTCAATCAGTGCTGATGATATATTTAGTCAATATGTGCTACATTAAGATATATTAGAAATAGCTGCAAACTCTGTTCTTCTTGCACCAGCGCTGTCATTTGACGTACAGCGATGTAGTTTGTGTCGAGAAAGAACTACAGGCTTTTTCAGCTCGAGGCTTGAAATTAAAAAAGAAATGGTCAAACTGCAGGAATTCATTTGATTGGCAACAAGTAACCTTGATTAGCACCCAGCAGCTAACTTAGCTTGCTCAGTGGGCATGGGCATCCGAAGCTCGTGTGCAATGCATCCTGGTACGCGTAGGCACTGCAACACTGAGGAACATGACTAGATTTATCATCCACACTGACTGGACATCCACATAAAAAGTGGTAACATTTCTTTTTAAGGTCCATTTAGTTTGTTCTGTTCTGGAGCTTTCTAACGAATCCTGAGCTTCCTCAGCAGAATGAGTTGATAGTAGATGTCTGAGTAATTTAAGAACATCACATACATGTTGGCTTTAAAATGTATTTAAATTCGAAGTTTATTTTTGCCTTGGACAAGGCTGTTTACAAATCAATCAAAGTTGTCAAACGTCCATTTAGTAGCTGATTTGATCATCAGATTGTTTTGTTAACAGCAGTTTCTGTGGCCCTTTTATGAATGTTAGAAGATAATAACAGAAACACATACAATGGTCTTAAAAATAGATCATCCAAATAGATTATAAATATTTATATTACAAATATAGATTATTGTACTATCTTGTAAGCTCTTTCTCTTTGGGAAAGCATGCAGCTACAGAATTCCCCACGTACACTTACACCAAACACTGCTTCATTAACTGGACATAACTCTCTGATATAAACTCATGTTATAAAGTTTCTGCAGTGGTCGTGTACCTGCGAGGTGCAGCTGGTTGAGCATCGTTTCCAGTTTGTTTGAGTGGAAACCAACATGTGGCCCCGGTGCTCTGTATCCTGTGTGTGGAAGGTAACTGTGACTGTGTGCTTCATTACTGTGGTGGTCATCATCATCATCATCATCATCATCATCATCATCAACATGGTGGCTGTCATCGTGGTCGTCACGGTCACCATCTACGTCATGATGGTCATCATTGTGGCTGTCGTCGCGATGGTCGGTGTGGTTCCCACCGTCACTGTGACCGCCATCGTTGTGGTGTCCGTCGCCGTGGTGATCATCATCATAATCATCCGCCTCATCATCATCATGGTGGTGTCCGTCGTCCCTGTTGCTGCTGTCGTCGTCGTGATGGTCCGAACTGCTGAGGGCGGAGGTGCGATGGTGCAGCTGCTGCTCCAGAGCGCTGATCTTCCTCTGAAGTAGCTCCTTCAGGGAGCTGGAGTAGGTGATGGATGTGTTCCTCTTCTGCTAAAGGGAGGTGAAAAACACACAGGTGAGGTCCTGACAACGAGTATTTCCTGTCCCTATTTACAACAGAGGGGATAAAGACATCAGTGGTGCTTTGGCACAAACTGGCCTCAAGGATTTATGTGAGCATCTGCTGATCTGATCTGAGGCACTTTCAAGCATCAGAGAGCTCTTGTGTGTCTTCTGAACTTCTTACATCTACTAATAATCTCCCAAAGTCAAATTCAGTATTCAATATAGTATGTTGTTGGTCTATATGTCTTCCTGTATCTGCCTCTGCTCCTCTTCCTCTCAGGTAATCCAGGCTTTGTGGCCTGATTATCAGTCTGTCAAGGGAGATCACGATAATTACTGCCGATGTTAGACCCGTGCCACGGTCCCAAACCCCCCCTACACACGCCACAGCTCCCGACATCTGTCTGTGATCTCGATCCAAGGAGGAGAGACAGCAGACGAGGAAGGATAAATGTACCAAGAGAGTAAAAAGAGTGACTGACTAAAGAGAAATCAAGACCTCCACCAAAACTTGAAGGTGCCCAGTCGGTCCAGTGTAACCTTACGCAAGAGTGTCTTATCAGTGGCGTCCACCTCTGAGCCTGTTGTTGCTCGGAGGTGTCCACTGAGGGACATCAGAGTGACTCTCTCTAATGTAGTGAGTGGCTTTATGCAATTAAGTAATTCATTGTTCCTTTGTCTAAAGTACTTAGTGGTCACACTGCCCTGGGACTTGTTTATTCAACAAACAATCCGGTGACAGCAGCATTAAAGTGTCCAAACAAGGAAAAGCCATATATGGGCATCACAAGCTTCCTTCAGCTCTTTTTTTTTTTTTATCCCTCCACTGTATCATATTTACTTTTATCTCATTTCTTTTTATGTTCTCTTCCTCTTTTCTTTAAGTTTTTATCTTTATTTCCAAATGCAAAGTTTTAAAAGTTTCCCCCTCTTCGTGCTGCTCACCTGCAGGTTGTCCAGCCTGTCCTTCAGCGCCACCAGCATCCTCTCCATCTGCTCCGGTGATGATGTGATATCCCCTGGTGTCACATGTTTATCCTTCCCCTGGCTGCTGTGTCCTCCATCAGATCGTTGCCCCCCCGTGGAGGGGTAGTGAGGTGAGTCCGGTATGAGGTTGCCGTTTCCATGGTGACCCTGCTGGTTGCTATAGTGCTCGTTGTCAGTGTACGTGTGATGACTGGCCACCCCTGCGTGATGGGAGTGTGAGGCCGTGCTGTGGTGCTCGTCGTGAGGCGCCGCGCCCCGTCCCAGGCCCTCGCACAGGGTGAGCTTGGCCGTCAGCTCTCTAATGGTCTCCCTCTGGTCCAGGATGGTCTCTTTCTGCTGGACAAGGCTCTCCCTGAGGTGGAGGATGGTGGCTTTGGCTTCTTCACTCGCCCCCCACCAGCCAGCAGGAGGTGCACTTTGATGGCCTGGTCCGCTGGGCCCTGCTGCCCCTGCGCTTGGACCCGCTGCAGGGAAGCAGGCAGGGTCTGCATCCACGGGAATAGGGGTGCAAACAAAACGTGGGTGGGCTCCGTAGCCATACTCAGACCCTGAACTGGCAGATGCAGGGCAGAAGAGTGAAAGTAAAGAAAATAAAATGGGAACAAGGAACAGGTGTAGAGACTGAGAGTTCCTCATGATCTCCATCCACAGTTCAGCCAGTAAGACTAAGGAGCTTGGCTTCACTTCAAAATGTGTGATGCCAGTTGAAGTAAAGGTTGTGTTGACTTCTTTGTTGTTGTGAAGGAGACATCAGGGAGCACTATAACAAAGATTCCCATCCACAGAGTATCCACTGTTTTGTGAGGAACAAATGGAAATCACAGTTTTGTCTTCAAATGTTTTCTTTGTCACACAAAGGAATTTATTTTACTCTGGATGTCGCCTTCTTCTCTCTCTCTCTCTCTCTCTCTCTCTCTCTCTCTCTCTCTCTCTCTCTCTCTCTCTCTCTCTCTCTCCGGAATAGAATAAACCTGTAAAACAAAACATCAGATTTTAGATAAAGGTCTGCTAGCAGCATCCACAGAGGGTGGACACAATAATATAAACACCTGTAAAACAAGGCAGTTCATCTTTTTGTTTAGATGCTGTCAGACTATAAGGCTCTAGTTTGTGGTGGTTGTGTTGTTCTGCATTGCATTATATTTCCAGGTCTATCATATATTTTATTCCAGTGCCCATTATCTGTATACACATTGTAGTATGTGTCAGGTCTCTTGAACAATAGGGGCAGTGAGAAGAGACACTTTTAGACCTGGCTGACAAATATGAAGGTCTTAAGATCTCAACAGGAGGTGATGGGGGATGAACGCCTCAGCGTGACGTCCCCGGCCTGGTCTGTCTGACGAGTAACCTTACATGGCACAGGCATGTGCCAGCGCCTGTCCAGACAAGGATTAGTCCAAATCAGAGGTGTGACATCCTGACCGAACCAGCCGATGACACTTTTATTGGAACCTTTAGTGTGAGTTACTTTGGTTGTTTTAACTTCCTGGAAGGAAATGAAGGCTACATTGTGGAGCAACAAACCACTTAACTTGAATAAATGAGTTGAATTTGGTGATTATTTAAGTCTTTGACCTCAAGGATGATGATAAAAAACTGTATAGGGGACTAATAATAAGTTAAAATTACATATTTAAGACATGGAAATATACTCTGGATACTGAAATGATCACTAAACATGACACTGAGTGTTGTCCATATTATATTCCCCGTCTCTATATCATAAAGGCTTGTTGACCTCGCTGAGTGCTGTAACATATCTCTCATTATACGGGGTCGGCATTTGGAAATGGCACGCACGTGATGTGGCGGCTAAACCTCGCTGACCACCTGTTGCTCGCAGCGACCAGCCTCTACAGTGTGTGTGTGTGTGTGTGTGTGTGTGTGTGTGTGTGTGTGTGTGTGGGTTTGTGTGATGGTTCATACATGATTCACTGTATTTTATCAATAATGAAACAGAGTGAAGAAACACATACATATATACTCTGACATTTGTCAAAGATCATGTCTGCCTTCATGGGAATCTCCTCAGAAGCTGATGATTATTTACTGAGCTGCAGGAACTGGAGAACAATAATTCCTTGTTTTTTAAATTGAGAATCCTCTTTGTAATAATGTTCTTATCATTATAAAGGGGAAACAACCTCTGAACTGAAACATGTTCTGTGTCTGCAGTTCCTGCTGTGATTTACGGGGCTTAGAGGAGAGACAGATGGTCGAGGTACCGAACCGTGTCACACCCAATCTCCACAGTTTAGCCCTAAGTTTATTACCACCCACAGGTCACTCAATTAACCTAATTACAAGCAGTTGTTGTGCTACCTTAGCCAGAGATAAGTGGGCTTCCTCAGTGTGTGTGTGTGTGTGTGCGTGCGCGCACGGTAATCCATGGTGAACACTGGGGTCGTGCACCATCCCTGCACCATATGGTCAAGGTGGATATTTAAGTAGTGCGATTAGAGCCAAATTAAAAACTGACAACTGCAGTTATACCTGTGATTAAAATACTGTTGACTCTGACAAAATAAAGCGCCCTCTATTTGGAAACAAACTGATTGTTTTTTGGATAACGGAGGGCGTTTTAAACTATAATAATCTGGTGCATTACAGGATCAATGTCAACATAATTTTCTCTGGCAAGTGGTTGGTTCTCCCAGAATTTATTGAGACACAAAGTTTAAGAGAAGTCTTTTTCCTTGTAAATCACATTAGTTACATTTGAGTTCGCACTTGCTAGTCTTTATTGTGTTTAGTGTTTTAATGCCTATTTACTAAAACCTGTGTGACGCCAAAACAGCACACATTTGAACATTTACAATCCATATAGTTTATCTGTTCATTGCTGCTATATTATGCAGTATATTATCTTTTGTATGTGCTTTTATATATTAAATAAAGAGTGTAGTTGGTGCGTGTACAATATACCCCTACATTAAGAATAATGCAAGATGCAGAATTAATTATCAGAGGAAACATTTAAATTAAATGTATTTATTATCTAACTCAACATTAGTTGTCACATTGTCCATTTGGGGTGAAAACGGGTGTTTTTTTTAATATTTGTTTTTCTCTTAAGAAACATAGTGTCGCTGTTATCACATCCACCCACACTATATTGTCATGGCCAGCTTCAAATATGTGATATTTAAATGAAGATATTAAAATGAATAAACCAACAGCAGTTTGATATTCTCTTGAATTATTCGGAAAAGAATTTGAGATATCAAAATAACCAATCAACAGTTTATAGATTAACCCAGAAATAAACACAAAAAACAAACAAACTTGAGTTAGGAAAATAAATCAAAATGTTTCTTTGGAAATGAACCCTTCTGAAGCATTTACCTTAAATATCCATCAAACTAAATATGTTTTAATTAATTCTAATGTTAAATTATTTAAGATTACTTCATTTTTGTTGGAAACTAAGAAACCACCACATAAATTATCTATAAATCTAAATATTTTCCATCAGTATTGGGATGAATAGAGCCAAATTAATGTACATTTACATTCATCATCCATCTGATTCTGTCTTTTAATTAAATTCAGTCAGATGTGACAGACAACCACATCACTGGGGATGTCTCAACTGAGTTACTGCAGAAAGAAATAATAAAATAATAATAATAAAAAAATGCTTTCAGTTACAGACATCAACAATCCCAAAACAGCTGTTACTAGATTCATTATGCAAACTGAGCAGGTTACGCTGTTTTAAATACAAAGTTATTTCACGTCATATTTTAATGATATTCTAGTATAATAATATTTTTAACAAGATTGCTTTTTCTGCCCTGTGTGGTTGTTTTATTTGCTTCTAAACGGATAAATAAAGAACCCCAGTGTGGTTCTTAAGTGGCCTCTTCATTACATCTCACTGAAATCATTTAAACTAATGAATTAAAATAAGAACAACATAAACAGTTCTAGTTAAATGAACATTTGAAAAAGCGCCTTACCTCGGAGTCCCTGTGAGTGCAGCTGTGAACTTGTTGTAGTGAGTAAGTCGACCTCGCACACTGATGAGATTGAGAGAGATTTACTGCTCAACGCTTTCTATCCCTCTGTCATTGTCTCTACCTCTCTTTTCTCTCCTCCTCTCCTCCCTCCTTCAGCTTTGTTGTGTTTTTCTTGGAAGACCACACCTCTTTTCCTGTCAGACTCTTGACTTTTTGGCACCCCGCTCACTGCCCCACTATCTTTATTCTTATTGTACGGATTGTATAGATTGATCATTGATGATGTTACCCCAAATGTGACAACCAGCATCAACTTTTTGTTTTTAATATTTACCTCTGATTTACAGTTACCCTCTCTATCAGGGCATCATTGGCTCAACTCCTCTAATGCAACGTCACAGAGCTCACCTAGATCTCCTCACGGGAGTAATTGGCTTGATTAACTCCTCGTCTCTTCCAGTCTGACTGACAGCCACAGAGGCGGCAGCGGGACAGCAGATGGCTCCTTTCAGGTCAAAGAAAATCACACAGCGCACAAACAATGGAGCCAGCATGTTGATTACAGGATCAGACACTTATGCTTAATAAAGAAACATCTTATCTTACTTACATTAACATGAGATAACAGGTTCAAACACATCAGCATGTATATATATATACGGGCACCACCGCTGTAGGAGGCCTCTGGGTGTCTGACTAAAACCCTCAAAGATAAGTGCTTAATACAGGAGTAATGTAGTAATTTTAATATCTTAGAGTTACTTTTCTCTCTCTCTCGTCTTCGTATATCTGTCAGTGTTTTATTTGTTCTAAAATTGATTCTGCCAGTAGAATAAAAGTCAGTAGGAAGACCTGGAGTTAAGACTGTTTGTCAAACAATCAGAGCAGTTATACAAAGTACATTTGAACTTGAACTAAACCAGCCTGATTGTGCTTTCAGTTTATGGGACACGCACACACGGATTAAATAGGAGTGAATAAGGTGAGGAGTTAAAGTTCCTGGCCCTGGCTCTGTGACTCTTACGCTGTCTGCCTCTTTGTGTTTTAAAGAGTTTGGTCTAGACCTGCTCTATTTGAAAAGTGTCCTGAGATAACTTCTGTTATGAATTGGCGCTATACAAATATAATTGAATTGAAATTGAATTGAATTGAATTGTGTATAATTACATCTTAATGTATTTAGAATTTCCCAGAAGTGTCTGAACATGATGTATATGTTGTGGTCAAATACTTTGACTGACCCCCTCCAGTCAAAAAAATATGTTTGTCGGTTGTTTGAGCTTCACTCTGCAGGATGATGTATGTTTGACACTAGGAGGATGTTTTTACATTAATCTGCTGAACGTGGAAAGTTTCTCTGTGCTAATTCCCAATTTCCCAAATACTCACAGTGTGTTTTGGGGTCAATTATAGGCTTTAATATGCCAAATGAATATGATGCTGTCACAGTGCTATTATGTATGATATATTGCTGGAGCTTTTTTGTGCTCAATTCAGTTCTCTTATATTATAAAATCTGTGTTTAACTCACTTTTACCAACATCTTCTCACTTGTCTTTTAGGCTTAATGAAGGAAATCAATATGAGACGATGGCTTTTACATAGATTTACTTTATCAGCGATCCTCCAGAAGAGAGTAAGTATTATAAAATATTTGTACTTTCAGAACTTAGATACTTCTCATTTATTGTTTTGGTTTGATTTTACCTCTCAAGAGAGTGTTCGCCCACATGTGGCTACACTGCTGTGAGCTTTGACTCCTCTGTGTCTCCAGGATGTTAATCTGAGACGCTGTTTGACACATTTGGACGCAGCCCATAAAGATCAGCTGAGTGATCCTGATTCAGGCAACACATGACCTGTTTTAGAGACATGTCGCTGTCACATACCGCCTGTGTTCAACCGGTTATCCCAGTGTGATAACGTGAAAGGTAGATAGATGGGAGAGATGTGTTTAAGTCATTTTTATTGTTTAATAGGTCAGTTTGAGCCGAGTTCTCCTGTCTTTCAATCTCCTTAGTGCGTGTGAATTAGGCCCTGAGGAAGTGAGCCGACACAAACAGCTTTGCGGCTCAGGTCCAAGGACACGAGACCACAGACGCTCCAATGTTCCCCCTCAACACTGAACCAAGTGACCCAGAACCCCACAGAACTCACTCGGCTGGCTGGCTGGAAAACTGGAGGCTGCCATGATCACGGAAAAAGGGTGACGTCTCGTCTTTTGAAGGGAGAGATGTTGGTCCTGGACTGAGTAAAGACACTTTGATCTGGTTTTTGATGTCCATTAATACTGTAGTGGTTTTGATTGTGTAGAGAGGCGATGTGCTGCAGTGATGAGGTAAGGTCTGACTGCAGAGTAACACCTGAGGATAGACAGATTGATGCTTCACATGGTTGCTGTGCTGAATTTATTGGCTTTATTCAAAACATTATAAATGATGTTTGTGATTTATGAGTTTCCGACCTGCCTGTGTTGGTCTTACAGATACAGTTTTACTGTTGTAGTGTAACTTTATAGTCCTCACTTGTTGCACCACACTGGCTGTTCAACCTCATGCAGGGGAAGCGCTGCAGGAAGTGATGTCACACTATCACCACCACCTGGGAAAAACCTGCAACTGCAACAAAAAACAACTTCAGTCAGACACCTGAATTTCTATTTTATGTCACTGTGAAATAAGTATAAATGTAGCTGCCAAATAAATATAGTGCAATAAACAGTACAATGTTGAAGAGTATGTAAGTATTAAGTAAGTATTATTTATTCAGTAAATTAGGGTACGTTCTGATTTTGTTTGTTCACATTATTTATTAAATGTGGCCCAGATCAGATTCCAGTGTGAACAGGTCAGAGTCCTGAAGTGATCAATGTAGATCTAGAGTGACATAAAAGTCACATTAATCCTGATATAACTGTTCACACATTGCAAACACTAAGACCTTTATCTGATTTGGACCAAATATAAAAGTGGCCCAAATCAGAATCGAAAAGGTGTTTTGTGCTGTTTTACACTGTAATGAAAAAATCTGATCAGAGTCTCAGATGAGCAAACAAATCTGATTTGGGTCCCTTGTGCCTGCAGTGTGAACGTAGCCTGTGTTTTAGCAAACAGTGGGGAGTTTAAACTCTTGAATCAACTGCTTAAAACACTTAAACACAGTTTGACTACTTCTAGAATAAATAAATAAAGGTTTTCGTATTTTCCTCCTAGATTTTTATTCCTGTCAATGTAGAAACATCTTTGAAAGACCAAATTAAATTGCATGTTTGGAAATAAAATGTACAGAAAGTATAACCGAAGAACTTAATTGAAGTAATAAAAAAAAAAAAATCCTTTTGGCTTCTGGTCAAAGTTTTCTGAGAGTGGTGGGAGTTGTGCTGGAAGCCCTCATGGACCTGGTAAAGTACATAAAAACAGAATCTGAGTAAATGCACTTAGTTACTTTCCAACACTACTGAAAATAGTTACGTTAAGTAAAAATATAACTTAACAGTTATTAGCAGCTTAACCTTTAATAATATATTATAGTTTATTAGCTGATTTATATTTTATGTTAATGATCTGAATTTGCAGAGTAACTAAAGTTATCAAGTAAATGTAGTTAAATGTAGAGCTTAAAGTACAACACTGGACTCCTAAATGTAGTGGAGTAGAAAGAGAAAGTAACACAAAATGAAAATAGTCAAGTACTTAAAAATTGTAAAAGTACACCACTGTGTTAGAAAAAAAACAATTGACCCTAAACACTTCCAACTCTCCTCTGCTGTACCTTTTTATTTCTTACCCTATCCTTTAATCTTTCCAGGAGTTTATTGCAGTAGATGAAGGGGTCCATGCAGGGGCCTCCTCCTCCTCCTCCTCCTCTTCCTCCTCCTCCTCTTCTGAGAAGCCGGAACCCGGTGATGGTCCGGGTGTATGTAGGCCAGTGATAGGCCCTGCCTGTGCTGTGGCTTAAAAAGTTCAAGTCATTATTCTCCTCCTGCTCCCATTCAGAGGAGGTCCCGTTGGCTCATTGTTATTCTGCCCGAGTGACAGAGAGAGAGACAGAGAGAGAGGCAGACAGAGAATGGGAGGCTGACTGTGGGTCTCCAACGGCAGGGAGCTGGTTGTACTGGGCGGGGGTTTGTCGGTGGTTGGACTGGACGGGGTTGGTTTTTTTTATTTATTGCGGGCGTGAAGGCATGTCGGTAATCGGCTCAGTAATGAGGAGAGGTACTGAACGGCACCAAATATCTGACCCCGATTCCTGGGAGTAAAGGGAGGCAGAGAGAGGGAGAAAGTGTGTGACAGAGAGGGGAGGAAAAGAGAGAGAGAGGGAGTGAGAGGGAGAGAGAGAGAGAGGGGCATGTGAAAAAGGGGTGGAGGGGAGTCGAGATTTAGTGCCCTACTGGATGAAACAACCCCCCACTAACTAACGGAGAGGGAAAGTAGCCTAATAGGGAGAAAAGAGGGGGTGTTGTACTCATTTAACACTCAAAGACGCGCAGGAAGCCTTTATCGTTTCCCCACAATGAGATCTGAAAAGGTATGTAACTCTCTTTTTTTTTCTAAATTATTAAGTAGCTGATTTTATTTGTTAGAGTTTCACAAATGGAAGTGGAGCTGAGAGTTTGAGATCAACAGGTAGCTGTTATTCAGCTGCTGCACTGTGTGGGCAAATGGCAGAATGCATTTTCTTAATCAGGATAAAAAACCAACATCCACTGTGTAGTTAGCTTATCAGTAATATTATTATCTATATTTATATTTACAGGCAGGCTTGGCATGTTTTACTTTACTTTTTTTGGGGGGGGGGGGGGTTGCATGTGCCTCAGTAAAAGACTTTGATGTAGATGGTTCATGGAAGAAAAGGCTCATTTTGCTCTGGTGCTGTTTTTGCTGCAGTGTTGCACCATTAATTGATCTTTAGAGAAAGGCAAGAAGTAAATGCATGAACATTTGGCAGCTTTCCACCTTCAAAACCAACAGAAATGCACAATTATTTGTACGTCTGCATGTAAAACACAGTTTTCGTTGGGTAAAAAAATAGTTAAAAATATCTTTTAATTGCTTGTTTTGTCTGATCATTAGTCCACAACTCAAAGATGTTCAGTTTATTATCATATAAAACAGGGAAAACAGCAAATCCTCACAGTTGTTTGAAGTTAGAACCAGAGATGTTTTGGCATTTTTGCTTTAAAAAATGACTAAAACAAGTAATTGATATAACATAGGCTAAATAGGCTAAAGAGTTGCTGTCGTTTACTCAACTAATTGCTGCAACTTTAAGTGACATTAATGGTTTTTAAACCAAACCATCTGATGAAATTTAAAGAGGCCAAAGCACATGAATGCACCTTCTGTATCAGTTTCCCAACCACCTGCAGACTGTTCCTGTTGCATCCTGAAACAAGCAACACTTTATTTCTTAGAATTAAACCACACTAAAAGCTAGAATACACACACACACACACACACAAAATGCTTTATCTAGTTCACCATTTTAAAGAACGTGTACATTTATAAAGCTCTTCAAACTAAATTAATTTAGTGCAAAGCTCCACTGTTCTGTCTGCAGACTATTACAGCTCCTCTGACGAACTACAGACTACATCAGGGTGGCCTTAATGAGCAAGAGTCTGGAAATGTTTTCTTTGTGTCATATACCATTAGTTGATCTGGGTCAACGTTTTCTCTGTAATCTTGCTGTGATAACAAAGGAGGGTTGCACAGGGAAAACAGAACGAGCATTTTGCCATCAAATCCAGACTGGAAATCCTTTGACCCCAGAGCCGTCCCCCCTTGAACGTCCTCTCTGCTGAGGAAACATTGTTGTCGCGTGTTTATTCAGCGCTCTGACACCTGTGACTCGGACTGGAGAAGCCCATTGTTCTTATCTGAAATGGTACAACTCGTCTGGCACTCGAATCTAGGAGCAATATTTGGGTTGCCGTAATGTTTCAGGGCGATAATGTCGAAACTGGCAGCCGAAACACGGACGAGAACCATGTGAAAATAACACTGCTGCCCTCAGAGAAAACCCAAGACGGTCTGACATCCTCATTGCTTGTTGTGATGGTTCAATGGCCTTAAAAGTCCTCTAGCTGATCTAAATCAGTTACTCCCTAAAAGCAGCGACAAAGGGAGGTTCTCTGTACACATGGACCAACACAAATAAGTGACACTTATCGTAGTTCTGTGATTAATTGGTGAACTGTTTTGTCTATAAAACACCAGTTTAATGCCAATTATAATTTCCCAGAGCCTGATGTGGAAATCTTCAAACCCAAATATGTTCAATTTAGTATTTATGGCAAAGAAAAGCAGCAAATCCTGACAGAAGCTATAAACAGTAAACATTTGGCACTTTTGATTATAAAAATAGTGGTTGATTGATTCCCTGTCGATCAACTAATCAAATAATCAACTAATTGTTTCAGTTCTACTTTCCTCTGCAGAGGTGAAGGTAAAAAACACCTGGATTTGTGCTTCCTCCTCATGTTTTGGGGTACATTTAAGACTTGTTTGCACTGTGTCTTTTCTCTTTTAGGGGGTTGCTGTTTGTTGTAAAACTTAGGGCCACGAGGAACAGGAGGAAAAGACGAAACAAAAGTACCTAGTGGCAGGACATAACTGAGAAAGGAAAAATGTCTCGAACAGAAGAGGTCAACAAGATGACAGAAAATGTCTACAAGGTACGACTCTCCTGTCTGTTTGTCTTCCCCAACAATAAACCTTTTAATGATTCACAATCGCACGCAGCACTATGTGTAGTGAAAGGTTTGAAGCATTATTTGTGTGTATCGTTGCCAACAGGGAATTCTGGACCAGTTCAACCCCAGTCTGAAGAATTTTGTGACCATGGGGAAACACTACGAGAAAGCCCTGACAGGTTAGTCGAAAACAGGCCTTTGGATTTGTCCTCTCAGCTGAGTTGAGTGAACTTGTATTCCTGAATGACTGAACAGGATGTATTCCCTAAAATGTTTCTTCTTCTTCAGGAGTAACTGTGGCTGCCAAAGGGTACTTTGATGCTTTGGTGAAACTCGGAGAACTAGCGAGCGACAGCCAAGGCTCCAAAGAGCTGGGTGAGTGGGCGTCTGGCAGAGAGGAGTACAAATACAAATAAATCGGTGATGGCACCTAATAAAGTGAAGAGAGTCGACGTGACAGCTGGAGAGAAGTTGCAAGTAGTCTGCTGCATGTGTTGGGTCAGGGAGGAGATGAAGACAAGAGGGAATGAGGAAATGTAGAGAGAGAGAGAGAGGGAGAGAGAACAGAGGGAAAGGGAGAGAGTAGGGTCATTGTTGGGAGATTAACAACACCACATGATCTCATTGTAATGCTGAAAACAGCGGGGGAGGCAGGCAGGAGAGTCGGAGGGCGAGATGCCAGCCACCACATACTACAGCGCTGTGTGACCGAGGGAGGGACTCACAGCTGACCAACACTTTGTCCATGAGAAAATGTGTTAAAACAGAAAGTTTAATGCCATTTTTTACTCGTGTGTCGTCCTCATGTGTGTCGTTACTGTTGTGAAATATCAGAGCGCAGATCTCAGATAAACAACGTGTGATAGTTTCTGCTCAGATTAAAGATGCACTGTAGGTTTTAAAAGAAGTTTAAATAACACATGATACTGACCTCCTTCACTGCTCCTCACAGGAGACACACTGTTTCAGATGGCCGAGGTCCACAGACAGATTCAGGTGCAGCTGGAAGATGTGGTAAGATCAATAACTGCTGAATTTATTATTTAAATTACAACTTATTATACATTTGGAGACTTTTAGGACATGAACGTGGCAAAAATTATTATTATAATAATTTCACAGCAGCCATTTTGACATGAAATCGTAGGGTAAAACACAGGCGTTACCAATGATACGAATCAGTCCCTCCAGGAAGACGTGATGTTGCGATCACAACTTCCTGTGAACTCTGCACGTTTGGCCGATCACCACAACTTCTCCGCCAGTTTGACCGATCATTGTCGTTTCTCACAGGTTTCACCGATCATAACAGTCCCCCGCACTAAATGTTGAGCCATGCATCCCCAATAATGATTTTTTTCTCACCACCAGCCTGTATCAATTTTACTTTCCCCACAATTTCCTTGCAAAAAAAGCCCAAAAACATCACAACATGCATCGCAATTGTTGAGAAAAGCTGCTGTGAAATGGGCCACTACAATCCCAATAAAAGCCAATGAAATCCTGGGAGGACTAATTAAGTTCTGTCTAATTAAGTTTCTGTTCCATTCGGGTCAAACAGTGTCAGAGTGCTGCTATTGTGCATGTTCTCACTGGACAGGGTCTGCTTCACTAAATGGAAACGGAGCCTTAATTAGTATCAGTAATAACACATGTGTTTACCCTACTATTTCATGTTAAAATGGCTGCTTTGAAAAAGTTCTATAGTGAGTCAGTCAGTATACCTTGTCTAAAATGCTGCATATGGATGTTTTCATCAACAGTTGAAGCTGTTTCACTCTGAGCTGCTCGCCCAGTTGGAGCAGAAGCTGGAACTGGATATTAAATACCTCACAGTAAGTTAACACGTTGACTGAAATGTCTCACACTCAGTAGGGTGACAACAAAATGTCCTTTCACTTTTGAGTGAGAAAAACAGGATTTTTGCTTAGTTTGAAATGCTTCGTGTAATTCTATGTTTGGAAGATGAGGCAGTGTGAGTTTATACTGTATAGATCAAATCTTAAATATTAGTTCTATCAAACCTTGTCTCATCCAACACTTATCAAATAAATCCTCTGACTTCCTCTCAGGCCACCCTAAAGAAGTATCAGAGTGAGCGGAGGTCTAAATCTGAGTCCATTGAGCGCTGCCAGTCCCAGCTGAAGAAACTCCGCAGGAAGAGCCAGGGC